TGCTCTTATACAAATGTGTGATCAATGGCTACAAGACATGGATGAAGACAAAATAAATGGAGTTGTTTTTCTTGATATATGTAAAGCATTTGACTCGGTGAATCACGAGATATTATTGGAGAAGCTTAAAACCCAGTTTGGAATTCACGACATTGAATTAAAATGGTTCCAATCATACTTAAGAAATAGAAAGCAAGTGTGTTCTGTTAATGATCAAACTTCTTCTGCAAGAACAATAATATGCGGAATTCCGCAAGGATCCATACTTGGTCCATTATTGTTTTTGCTATATATTAATGATATGCCTGATATTCTAGAAAGGACAACCCCATGTATTTATGCCGACGACACTCAGATATCTTCCTCTTCGCATGATTACGATACATTGATTGACAATTTGAATATGGACCTTTCCAGTATTCATAAATGGCTTGCTAAAAACAAACTAAAATATCATAGGAAAAAACAAAAGTCATGTTTATTGGATCTACGCATAATCTAAATCATAAAATAGGAAATAGAGCCGTTGAGATTAACAAAATCCCAGTCCCACAAACCAATACATTTAAATGTCTAGGTGTAAATCTAAATGAAAAATTAAGTTGGGAGAAACATATTGATTCTGTATGCCATAAGATTAGCGCTGGAATAGGAGCAATTAAAAGAATAAAACCTTATGTTCCACACAAAACCTTACATGATGTCTACAAAACATTAATTCAGCCTCATTTTGATTACTGTTCTCCCCTGTGGAATAACTGTAGTTTGGGACTTCAAGACAAATTGCAAAAATTCCAAAATCGAGCAGCAAGGGTGATTACCGGAGCTGACTACGATGTAAGATCGTCTGAAGTCCTAAACAAATTAGGCTGGGAAACCCTGGCTAGGAGACGAGAACAAAACAAGCTAGTATTGATGTATAAAGTCTTGGGGAACCACACTGCGCCAAACCTTAAAGATCTTTTTTCTCGGAGAAATGCATCGCAGAATATTTATGATTTACGCAATAGCCAAACTGATCTCTCGTTAAAAAAACCGAAAACGGAATTTCTAAAGAAAACATTTGGATACAGTGGAGCAATTCTATGGAATAGTCTGCCGCAAGATGTCAAGGCGGCTGAGTCAATTACGTCATTTAAAACAATGGCGAAATTGCATTTGAGCAGATGATAAGCTAATTTCTCCAGGACCAAATGATGGGAGGACAATATAGATTGTGGGCGGGAGGGGGGTTAGTTTTGCGTGAGGGTGGGTGGGTACTTGTTTAGGGGGTGGAGGTTTGGGAGGAAGATGATAATATTTTAGGGTGGGATTCTTACATATTTTGTTCTATATTAATTAACATTTAGCTCTTTGTGTGTATACGCCCTTCGTGGAAACCAGTTGTAAATAATTGTCGAAGTTAGCGTATTGAAATAAAGTTTTACATTACATTACATTCTTCAGCACCAGGAACCTTGTCCTCAGCGTCGGGAACCTTGTCCTCAGCGTCAGGAACCTTGTCCTGAGCATTAGGAACCTTGTCCTCAGCGTGAGGAACCTTGTCCTCAGCGTCAAGAACCTTATCCTCAGCGTCAGGAACCTTGTCCTCAGCGTAACGCCTTGTCCTCAGCGCGAGGAACCTTGTCCTCAGCGTCAGGAACCTTGTCCTCAGCGCGCGGAACCTTGTCCTCAGCGTCAGGAACCTTGCCCTCAGCGTCAGGAACCTTGTCCTCTGCACGAGGAACCTTGTCCTCAGCGTCAGGAACCTTGTCCTCAGCGTCAGGAACCTTGTCCTCAGCGTCAGGAACCTTTTCCTCAGGGTCAGGAACCTTGTCCTGAGCGTAAGGAACCTTGTCCTCAGCGCGAGGAACCTTGTCCTCAGCGCGAGGAACCTTGTCCTCAGCGCGAGGAACCTTGTCCTCAGCGTCAGGAACCTTGTCCTCAGCACGAGGAACCTTGTCCTCAGCGTGAGGAACCTTGTCCTCAGCGTCAAGAACCTAGTCCTCAGCGTCAGGAACCTTGTCCTCAGCGTAAGGACCTTGTCCTCAGCGCGAGGAACCTTGTCGTCAGCGCCAGGAACCTTGTCCTCAGCGCGCGGAACCTTGTCCTCAGCGTCAGGAACCTTGTCCTCAGCGTCAGGAACCTTGCCCTCAGCACGAGGATCCTTGTCCTCAGCGTCAGGAACCTTGTCCCCAGCGTCAGGAACCTTGTCCTCAGCGTCAGGAACCTTTTCCTCAGGGTCAGGAACCTTGTCCTGAGCGTAAGGAACCTTGTCCTCAGCGCGAGGAACCTTGTCCTCAGCGCGAGGAACCTTGTCCTTAGCGTCAGGAACCTTGTCCTCAGCGCGCGGTACCTTGTCCTCAGCGTCAGGAACCTTGTCTTCAGCACCAGGAACCTTGTCCTCAGCGTCCGGAACCTTGTCCTCAGCGTCAGAAACCTTGTCCTCAGCGTAAGGACCTTGTCCTCAGCGCGAGGAACCTTGTACTCAGCGCGAGGAACCTTGTCCTCAGCGCGAGGAACCTTGTCCTCAGCGCGAGGAACCTTGTCCTCAGCGTCAGGAACCTTGTCCTCAGCGCGCGGAACCTTGTCCTCAGCGCGCGGAACCTTGTCCTCAGCGTGAGGAACCTTGTCCTCAGCGTGAGGAACCTTGTCCTCAGCGTGAGGAACCTTGTCCTCAGCGTCAAGAACCTAGTCCTCAGCGTCAGGAACCTTGTCCTCAGCGTAAGGACCTTGACCTCAGCGCGAGGAACCTTGTCGTCAGCGCCAGGAACCTTGTCCTCAGCGCGCGAAACCTTGTCCTCAGCGTCAGGAACCTTGTCCTCAGCGTCAGGAACCTTGTCCTCAGCACGAGGATCGTTGTCCTCAGCGTCAGGAACCTTGTCCTCAGCGTCAGGAACCTTGTCCTCAGCGTCAGGAACCTTTTCCTCAGGGTCAGGAACCTTGTCCTGAGCGTAAGGAACCTTGTGCTCAGCGCGAGGAACCTTGTCCTCAGCGCGAGGAACCTTGTCCTTAGCGTCAGGAACCTTGTCCTCAGCGCGCGGTACCTTGTCCTCAGCGTCAGGAACCTTGTCTTCAGCACCAGGAACCTTGTCCTCAGCGTCCGGAACCTTGTCCTCAGCGTCAGAAACCTTGTCCTCAGCGTAAGGACCTTGTCCTCAGCGCGAGGAACCTTGTACTCAGCGCGAGGAACCTTGTCCTCAGCGCGAGGAACCTTGTCCTCAGCGCGAGGAACCTTGTCCTCAGCGTCAGGAACCTTGTCTTCAGCCCGCGGAACCTTGTCCTCAGCATCAGGAACCTTGTCCTCAGCGTCAGGAACCTTGTCCTCAGCACGAGGAACCTTGTCCTCAGCGTGAGGAACCTTGTCCTCAGCGTCAAGAACCTAGTCCTCAGCGTCAGGAACCTTGTCCTCAGCGTAAGGACCTTGTCCTCAGCGCGAGGAACCTTGTCGTCAGCGCCAGGAACCTTGTCCTCAGCGCGCGGAACCTTGTCCTCAGCGTCAGGAACCTTGTCCTCAGCGTCAGGAACCTTGTCTTCAGCGTCAGGAACCTTGTCCTCAGCGTTAGAAATCTTGTCCTCAGCGTTAGGAACCTTGTCCTCAGCGTCAGGAACCTTGTCCTCAGCGTCAGGAACCTTGTCCTCAGCGTAAGGAACCTTTTCCTCAGCGTCAGGAACCTTGTCCTCAGCGTGAGGTACCTTGTCCTCAGCGTCAGGAACCTTGTACTCATCGTGAGGTACGTTGTCCTCAGCGTTAGGAACCTTGTTCTCAGCGTCAGGAACCTTGTACTCAGCATCAGGCACCTTGTCC